ACTGAGAAGCTTCTTACCCAGCCCCCACTGCTATGGATCCAGTCGGCCAGCCGCGTCTCCAGGTAGGCCACCATCCACTCTTGCACTTGTCCCACAAGTGGCTCCATCTCCTTGTTGACACTCTCAGCACACAGCGCGGCTCCAAAGACAAAGAAGGCCACAAGGCGGCCCCAGTTGGGGCCCCCTTGGAAGAGTTCGTCAGAGACCTGGGTGAAGCGTTGCTGGGCTGAGCCCGGGGTCACATGCAGTTGAGCCGCCAGATCAGAGAAGGTGCGCCGGAAGCGGGTCTCAAACTCATCTCCAGCTGCCCGCATGGCTTGGTGCAGCGGGTCAGCTGCTGGGCCCTCCCCAGGGCCAGCTCCACACACATAACCCTTCTGCCTCAGCTTATAGCCTACAAAGTCTGCCACTAGAGCCCGTGTGTCTGGGGCTGAGGCTGGGGTCGCCATCCGGGCGGCTGGAAGAGTCAAGGATGAAAGACTGGCATGAATATATGGTCAGAGACCCAAAAGGGGCATGTCAGGCTTGGCCAACCCAGTCACATGGGGAGGGAGGCGGGAGGAAATGCTCAGAGACCACTGGGCAGCGAGTGGGCAGAACAAGGGAATTAAATCATATTGAGGGATCAGGACAGGAGGGGCTGGCCATTAAATTCGTAATATGCCAAATTAAATGTAAAACAAGTAAATTTTATTTTTAAAATACTTTAGATTATTTCCGTAATAAGACAACACCAGCTCTATGACATCCCTATTAATCCCCTCTCCACAGTACACACCTTTTTGGCTAGAGGAAGGGGTTTAGGATCTCCCCAGAGGCAAGATGTGAAGCTGCTGGCAGAGGCACAAATGAGGGGGGAGACAGGGGCTGAAGGGAAAGGTGGGAGAAGCAAAGGGTTGCCCAGGACAGAGAAGGAAGGGGACACTCACCCAGCCTGGATGGCAGCTCTTAGGACCCAGCGCTGGTGGCAAGGAGCCCCCAGCTGGGGCCTTTCATCCTCCTGGCCAGCGTGGAGCCCTGGGAAGGGGAGGGGAGAGCAGAGCTAGGCAGGGAAGGCCAGGGATCAGGGTCTGGGCTGAGAAGGGCTGAGGTTGCAGCTCCCGGGACCGGTCCCTGCCCCCAACGCTCTACCAGCTGTGTGGCCGAATCCATGTTTAATGACCGTCCTCCCGGGAAACCCAGGGCCAAGGGCTTCCTGCCGACACCATCTCTACTCCCGGCTCCCCCCAGTGCAGCCCAAAGGCCCAGCTCCTCCCTCACCCCCACCCTCACCCTGTCTCCAACCCCGCCCGCCTGCCAGGTTAGGGATCTCACGGGTCAGGCCGCTGCCGGGATCCGGGCCGTTTCCTGGTGCAGGAGCTGGGAGGGAGGGAGAGAGGGAGGAAGGGAGGGAAGGAGGAGGGAGGAGAAAGGGGGGGCGGGAAGGAGGGCCCGGCGCCGGGTGATGATGGGGCCCAGAGATGCGTCCAGAGAGAGGGGCGGGGCTGGGACGCAGGCTTGGGAAGGGCCACAACTCAGGGAGAGAGCCACCAGAGCCCAAGAACAGCTGGGCGGAGAGGGCACAGAGGGTGGTCGGGGGTCCTGAGCCTGGAGGCTGCCCAGAGAAGCCAGCTAGGCATCAGGAAACCTCAGAACAAATTCAGCATTTCCAGAAGGTCTCTGATGTTCCATGCACTTGTTGAACTTTTCCAGCCCTGGAGCGGGTGCCTGGAAAAGAGGAGCAGTTCCCATTCCAGTGAGAACTGCCTGTCAGGTGCCTCGCCCTATGGGACTGGCAGACATGACAGGGACACCAAACATTTCACTTCCTCTTTTCTCCAGGACCTTTAACCCAGTAGTCTCTTCATGGACTGGGGCTTTAGCCCAGCATCTGGGAGCCAGGACTTAGATCACAAGCAATTTCTGCAGGTAACTTTTCTTCATCTTCTTTCTTTTTCTTCATCTTCTTTCTTTTTCTTGTAATCAAATTGGTTTTCTTTTTAATTCTTTTTACCCAACACATGAATTCATTCTCCTTATGAAAAGGTCAAACAATATGGAGGTATAGAGGAAAAAGTGCAAGTCCTCAATCTCCCTCCCTCTGGCCCGCCCATAATTCCACTTCCCCTCCTGGAAGCTGCCAATGTCAAGGTCGATGTTTATCCTTTCAGATTATATATATATGCACATGTACGTATGTCTATTAGACATACGTGGCAGTACATTATACAGGCCCCACTTCACAGGAAGTGGAGCCGTCTGACCACAGCTGATCCACACGAGGGCACTCTCAGGCATTCTGACTGGGCCCCACCGGCTCTTGCAGCTGGCACTTCCTTCCGCTCCATTTGGAGGGATCTCCAACCAAAGACCAGCAAGAAGAAACCCAATTCTCCTTTCCTGCTGGTTCCCTTTGCTTCTACCTCCAGTCCAAGCCTTGGTATTCCCATATGCCCCTATCGACACTGGAGAAGCAAGGTCTTTTCTGTAAGAATAATAGTAACAGCGAACACATTTTGAAGACTTCTTAGCTGCTAAGTGCTTTCTTTACATGCATGATATTTTGTCCTCACATGTGTCCTTATGCTGTTTTATCCTCATTCTACGGATGAGGAAAGTGAGGCTTGGAAAGGCTCATACTTAGAGCCACATACTTAGAAGGTGGGACACAATATAATTCTGACTTCAAAGTTTGTCTTAACTCTATTGCTACAAGGCCACCTCTTCTGCTTCAGGTAATCAATGTAGTTATCACACCATTTACAAGTCTAAACGCAGTTCTCCCTCTATTTGAACTCACAGCCTACTCCATTGCTTTACGACTGTATCCTTCGACTTCCCTCATTTCTTCTTTGCTCTTGAGCTGATCATTCCAGCTGCCACCAGCAAGGTTGCCGCCTTCTTTAGAGAAAATCTAGTCCAGTCCTTCATTTGCAATCCTGATTTCTTCTAAGATATTTACTTGAAATAAAAATAATTTGAAGTCTCAGGATCCAAATATATTTCTGTCTGCCCACCCATTTATTTATAAGCTCTGTGAGAACAGAACTGAATTTCATTCATTTTTATGTCCTCATAGCCTAACAGACCCTCAGTAAATGCTGACTAAAAGAAGCACTCAACACCTCTGGCCAGCTATCGAGCAGGCCCAGTCAGACATTTGAAGATAATGGCAGTGGCTGTTTAAGAAACAACGACTGATTTGGAATAAAGGTTCACCATTAGTCTGAGCAGCCAGGAGAACAGAGCTGCTGGACCAACACAAATTATATTGGGTCCAAAGCTGTGTACCTCAAGGATCTTCTCAGACCAACACCACAGAGCCAAAGAATGGCAGCTCAAAGTGTAGACAAGAAAACAGAGCTTTTACCAGAAAACCTCAGGCCATATAGGTTGACCTTGAGTTTATCTATTCTGTCAATGACATATTTTACCAGAGTGAGGAAGACAGTTTTAAACTGCTAGACTGTAACATAAATTCATGTTACGTTATTTTACACCCTAAGAAATGAAAATATGTCCATAGATTACACCTGTATGTATAAAATAAGAAAGTAGGGCCAGCCCCGTGGCTTAGCGGTTAAGTGCGCGCGCTCCGCTGCTGGCGGCCCAGGTTCGGATCCCGGGCATGCATTGACGCACCGCTTCTCCGGCCACGCTGAGGCCGAGTCCCACATACAGCAACTAGAAGGATGTGCAACTATGACATACAACTATCTACTGGGGCTTTGGGGAAAAAAAGGAGGAGGATTGGCAATAGATGTTAGCTCAGAGCCAGTCTTCCTCAGCAAAAAGAAGAGGATTAGCATGGATGTTAGCTCAGGGCGGATCTTCCTCACAAAAAAAAATAAAATAAAATAAGAAAGTAAAACTCAATATCACTTTAAAAATGAGTCCTGGCTAAATAACATTGTTATGGTTAATACTGGAGTTAAAAATGCAAACAGGAATGAATTGTGCAATAAGTTAGTATATGTCTCATTGTTTATTTCCAACTTAGTCACTGGTGATTTTACAGTTAAACTCTCCTGCTGTTTTAAATTTAGAGATTCCATTTCTACTCCAAGATTCCCCATTTCAATACTCTGAAGATGTTAACTATTACTATAAAATGTTTTAATCTTACATAACCAAGTGGATAAGAGAATGGACTCTAGAGCTGGACTGCTGAGGTTCTAATCCCAGCTCCTGGGTTATTATCTATGTGACCCTAGGCAAGAGTCCTATTCCCTCTCTCCCTCGATTTTCTCTTCTGTAAAATAGGCATAATAATACTCCCTACTCTTATGATGGCTGTATTGTATGAATTAATATTTGTAAAACTCTTACAACCATACCTAGCACGTCGTTAAGTGCTACATAAGATCAGAAGGGAAGCTAGAAAAAAACTAAACAAAACTTCATGTTTTTTTCACTAATGTAGAAAAAAATGAAAGAGAAAAAAGCCAGCTCTGTACCCTTCTTGGAAGCTCCCATTCAAACTCAAACCCCACAGTCCCAGCTCCAAGAAAGTTGTGTGCTCATTCATTTAATAATTTGAAGGCCTACTATGTGCTGAAACTGACCATGAATCAGACACAGCCTCTGCCCTCCAAGGGCTTAGTCAGGTTAGAGAGCAGAACTCGAATCCACTTTTTTACAGATGAGAAAACTGAGGTCCAGAGAAGTTGTGCCTTGCTCAAGGTCACGCAGCTGAATAGCACCAGAGATGAGAGCAGATGCTATGCCTAACCGCAACTCTCAGTTCAGAACTCTTCCCAGTGGTCCACCCACCCTTTTGAGCGCCACAGCTCAGCTTCTATCGTTCATGAACTCTTCTTTGCATCTACCCCCACCCATCTCCCAAACCTCGAGCCTAGGGTTTAGAAAAGAAAATTGTGAGCCCTGAAGAGAAAGTCACAAGCTGGGCGTTTTAAATCTTCCCCTGCAAGAAAAGGAAAAGTTACGCTTTCCCCTCTGCGTGTTAACTCTTCCTGTGCCGGAGAGGTTGAGGCCGTTAAAAAAAAAAAAAAAAAGGCCGAGGGGTCTCACTCAGGACCAAAAGCGTGGAGTCCCCGCCCTCTGGTGCAGCAGCAGCGAAGACAGATGGGGAGCCACCTGTCAGCGGGCTGTGGGCGGGGGCCGGGGCCGCGGGGGCCGCGGGACCGGAGGGTGAGCGCCGCTGAGCGCACGCTCAGAGCAGACAGCTCGCAGGAGGCAGGAGATGATGGTCTAAGACCCGGAGGCCTGAGAGTGGGGGAAAGGTAGTCACGGAGGCACAGCTACGGGAGGTGGAGGATCCTGGAGGTGACAGCAAGGAGAGTACGCAATGGCGTGGGGCGGCTGAAGCGGGCCCGACGGCTTCGGTGTGGACGCCGGGTGGGTGGGAGACGGGCCCCGCCGGGTCGGGGGGTGCCATGTCTCGAGAGCGGCCCCCCCGAACCGACATCCCCCGCAACCTGAGCTTCATTGCCGCGCTGACAGAGCGCGCCTACTACCGCAGCCAGCGGCCCAGCCTCGAGGAGGAGCCGCAGGAGGAGCTAGGCGAGGGCGGGACGCGCCTCGGGGCCCGATCCCGCGCTCACGCTCCGAGTCGAGGCCGCCGGGCCCGCTCTGCGCCGGCTGGAGGCGGCAGCGTCCGGGCGCCCCGCAGTCGCAGCCCGGACACCCGCAAGAGAGTGCGTTTCGCCGACGCGCTGGGGCTGGAGCTGGCCGCCGTGCGCCGCTTCCGCCCCGGAGAGCTGCCCCGGGTGCCCCGCCACGTGCAGGTGCAGCTGCAGAGGGACGCCCTCCGGCACTTCACCCCGTGCCAGCCCCGCGCTCGCGGCCTCCAGGTAGGCGCCAGGGGCACGCCCCTTCCCCGGCACCTCCCCTACCCGGCCGCGGCGGGCAGGTGGGAGTGGATTTAGCAAGAAACACCCGTCTCCGTTCCCCGGGCTGGCCCTTGCTCTTCCCTTTTGGGGTCCCCATTGGCGAGTAACTCTAGGCCAACCCCCAGCCGGGCCGCACTCTGACGGCGGCGCGCGGGGGCGGGCCTCGGATTGGCCCAATGCGTCGCCCTGACCCCGCCCCCTGTCTCTCCCCTCTCTCCGCCTGGGCTCCCTCCTCCCGCTCCCTCTCTCCCGCCAGGAGGCGCGCGCCGCCCTGGAGCCGGCCAGCGAGCCCGGCTTCGCCGCCCGCTTGCAGGCGCAGCGCATCTGCCTGGAACGCGCCGAGGCGGGCCCGCTGGGCGTGGCCGGGAGCGCGCGCGTGCTGGACCTGGCCTACGAGAAGCGCGTGAGCGTGCGCTGGAGCGCCGACGGCTGGCGGAGCCAACGAGAGGCGCCCGCCGCCTACGCCGGCCCGGCCCCGCCCCCGCCGCGCGCCGACCGCTTCGCCTTCCGCCTGCCTGCGCCGCCTATTGGGGGCGCCCTGCTTTTCGCCTTGCGCTACCGCGTCACCGGCCGCGAGTTCTGGGACAACAACGGCGGCCGTGACTATGCTCTCCGTGGGCCCGAGCACCCGGGCAGTGGCGGAGCCCCGGAGCCCCAGGGCTGGATCCACTTTATCTGAGACGCCTGCGGCGGACGGCGGAAAAACCAAAGGCACCCGGGGGCTGGGGGAGCCTGAAGATGTGGCAGGGAGGAATGGGAGAAACCGAGATTGGCGGGGAGCTGTCCGAGAGAGTCAAGTGGAGGAGGGCGAGGAGGATGGGAGAAATCCCAGGGGTGTGGGGCGTGGGCGGAAGCAACGAAGGTCGGGAAGACTGGGGTGGGAAACGCTAGTTGGATGTGAGTGGACGGAGCCCAGGACTTAGGAGGAAGAAGACCGGAAAGGGCGCTGGGAGATTAGAAAAAAGCAGAATAGGGATGATGGTGACTTCCTCTTCCAGAAGTGGGCACTGGGAGAGGGTGCCTGGGTTCGTCAGGCCTAGGCATTCGAAGCTTAAGGTACCTCTTTGGGATTGAGGAGGTATTTTGGGTGAAGTAGGAGCCCACCCCGGTGAAGTCATTTAGATTGCTGGCTCATTCCCTCTTACCGCATTTGCCACCTCAGGTCCCCCAGCCCTGCCCATCCCTGCTGTAACTCAGCCGTAATTGCCTTGCTTACGTTCTAGGAACTTGGCCATTGCTCCCAGTCCCTGGCATTATGATAGGATTCCCTTGTCACCCCTGATGGTCCCTGGCCTCAGTCTCCGGGGACTGGCTGGGGAGTGAGGGCAGGTAGCAGTCAGAGCTCCTTCCTCCAACCTCCAGGCAGCCCTGGGGATTAAAATGAAGGCAAAACCAACTCCAGGCCTGTTCTTGAGGCCAAATAATGCAGCTCCTAAGAGGCTGGTACACTCAGGGGCTTCCAGAAAAATGCGTCTTGCCTTTCTGGGGTGCCTTCTAATGACCTCTAAGCACTTTATGGACTGTATTTGAAAAGGGACAGTGAATCACGAGAATCACTATTCTGATTCTTTCTGCCTCAGAAGAAAAGGAAGTCACTCACTAGCTGCATAACTTTGGGCAAGTTGCCTCACTTCACGGGTCCCAGTTTCCTCCTTGGAAAATTGGATTTGGATTAGGTGATCTCTTAGGGCCCCTTCTTGCTTTGACATTTTATGCTCTGTGAGTGGCAGAGTGTGGACTGAAGCCACACTCTCCAACCTACAGTTTGAGTGCTACAGTTCAGAACACACAGCACACCCAGTGTCTGAGGATGGGTCCTGCAGTTTTTGACACAGATGTTCCAGAGCCTAGGAAGCATCCCATAGTCAGCCTGCATCCTCAGGGTATTCCAGGGCCTCTTTCAAGCCACAGTTCAACTTCTGTCTCTTGCTTTTTGCTCTTGCCCTACAGACTTCCAGCCTGAGTGCTCTGAGACAACTTGGGGGAGGTGTCTCTTGGAGAAAATGATGCTTGGGAGCCCCAAAGATGAAAGGAAACAATGTTGCGGGCTCTCTTGAGGATAAAGGACTGTGGGTATAAGAAATGGAAAACATTTCAACTCAAGAATCAGGCCGGCCCGGTGGCGTAGTGGTTAAGTTCGTGTGCCCCACTTTGGCAGCCCAGGGTTTGCAGGTTCGGATCCTGGGCTCGGACCTATGCATCGCTTATCAAGCCACGCTGTCGCAGGCATCCCACGTATAAAGTAGAGGAAGATGGGCATGGATGTTAGCCCAGAGTCAATCTTCCTCAGCAAATAGAGGAGGATTAGCGACAGATGTTAGCTCAGGGCTAATCTTCCTAACCAAAAGAAAGAAAGAAAGAAAGAAAGCAACTTGAAAATTAAATGGCACCAGAAGATGGCAGTATGCTCCATACCCTGAATGAGTGAAATAGGAAAGCTGGACTCTTGTACCCATTCACATTCATGCCTTAAGTCGCTCCTCCTGGTTAACCTCTGCTGGTTGTTTTTCCTTTCCTCTTACTCTATTCCTAAGCTCTGCTTTTCTCTTTCCTTGTCCCTCTTTCTCGTCACTTTCATTTTTATTTTAGCATATAGGGTATTTACCTTCATTTTCTCGATTTCCATTTGCCTCCCTCTTCATCCTTGTTGATCTCTGCTATTCCTTCTCCCTCCAGAAGGGGTGGAGAACCTACTTCCTTTTCGCCAAGACCATGGTTGGTCCACCTTCCTCTCACAGGCTCCTTCTTGACAGTCTTCTAGAAGGGAGAAGAGGAAAAAGAAGCAGTTCCTGATGCTGCAGATGAACAGGAGCTCCCAGGTAACCAGCTCCCCATACCCATGTGTGTTACTGATTTCTCAGAGAAAATTTCTGGATCCCCCTCTTCCTTATCACTGAGAGAGAGTGCATGCACACGTGCCCATACATGCATTCGGAATAGAGCATGGGTCTTGTTACCATGCCCCTCCTGTCCAAAGCCTTAATCCTTTAAAGAAAGATGGCTGAAAGAGAGGAACCCCAAGTCATTCCTCAAACAAATGCCCATTTAAACATCATCCTTATCTGGTGAAGAAAACAAAGAATTTCACGTGTCTTGTGGATTGCCTTCAGGTCAAAGTTCCAGCAGAGTGAAGAGAGAAACTACTGGAAGCCACCAAACAGTGCACTTTTTAGTCATCAGTGAAGAGCCCAAGGGAGGATAATGGAGAGGGAGACCGGGTCACTGCTCAGTGTGTAATAATCTCTTGCTCAATGTATGCATTACTGCTATGTTGTATTAACAATAATAGTTTACATTTACTTACCTGCTAAAATCTGGTGTCTTATAATTCTCAAAACAACTCTTTGAGTTGAGTAATACTATCCTTGTTTTAGAGATGAAGAAACAGCTCAGAAAAGCTCAATAATTTGTTCAAGATCACAAAGCTAATAAATGGCAGAGCTAGGATTGTGAACCCAGGAAATCTCTAGAGCCTCTCTATGTAACCATGATGTTATATTTTTTTCCTTTAAAAACAAAATTTAAAACTTTGCTGTGCCATATTATGTCTTAATAGGAAAAGACCATAGTTTCTAATTGTGTTCTGCCTTCCTGTCCTCCCAGTCTCCCAAACGGTTGGAGAAGGCAAAGCACTGAGGGTCCCATGCTTCATCTGCTCTTTCCAGGAGCTTGCTGTTGTCTCCTATGCCAGTGTCCCAGCTCTGCAAGATCAGCAAGGGACCACCCCGCCTACCTGCTAGAGAACTTGGGAACCCATTTGAACTCTAGCCTTTCCATACATTGGGATTCCCTCCTGGCCCTAGCCAACCCTCCACACTTGTTGGTGTGCCACACCCCTTCCGATCCCCTACTAGCCTCGAAAAGGCAAGTTCTCTAAAGTTTCTGCTAGGGCCGGCCCCGTGGCTTAGTGGTTAAGTGCGCGCGCTCCGCTGCTGGCGGCCCGGGTTCAGATCCCGGGTGCGCGCTGACGCACCACTTCTCAGGCCATGCTGAGGCCGCATCCCACATACAGCAACTAGAAGGATGTGCAGCTATGACATACAACAATCTACTGGGGCTTTGGGGGGAAAAAATAAATAAATAAAATCTTAAAGTTTCTGCTAGAAGGGTCCCCAACTAGGACAACTGCTGGATAGTCTGTGCTTGGGCCCCTTCTGGGAACCCTGGTATTATTGAGTGGATAAATGCAAACTGGTTAGGGGCAGGGAACCCTGAGCTTTTTCTCTGTAAGAAGTACCAGGGCTCACCCACTCCCCATTCTCAGCTGTATAGACCAGCACATGAGTCTTCTGGTTTTTCCCATATAGAGCTGCGCCAGGGCCTGGGGGTAAGCTGATAGTCTAATCTGACATGGGAAACACCAGGAGTTTGGTGGAATCTTTAGAGATGCGTCATGTGTTAGGCACTGTGGTGGGGACTTTCCTCTAAAGGCTGATGACTGTATGAACAGGAGCAATTTAGGAGGTAACATGTCAGCCATGGACTGGGAAGTGCCATAGAGAAACCATTACCATGGTCAGGGGCTTGGGTCCTTGAAGCAACACAGCAGGAACACTTGCCCTTTTCCCGCATCCAGACCTCAGATGTCTTCCCACACCTACCTGATAGCCTTCCTCCTCTTCCTTTGTTTCTCTTTATGAATGTAGCTCATTATTTCTCTTCATAATAAGCCTCAACTCCTCAACTTTCCAATCTAACTCCCACATTGCCTTGCTTCTAACACCTGTGTTTCTCTGCAGCTCCTCTGGATCCTTGCAATTCGCAGGTCCTAGAAACAGAGACCTGAAAAGGCTTGTCTTTAGAGATCCTTGGGTCCAGGCTCCCCTACAGATGAGGACACAGGTCCAGAGATGAGAAGTGACCCCAGCAAGGTCAAATAATTGGTTAGTGCAGCTCAAGATGGGGCTTAACCCCAGGCCTCCTGACCACATCTCATTCCCAGGCTACAAAACAGCCCATTACACAGACCTGCGGTTTTTCATGGCAAGAGATAACATCGGAAATGTTTCATTTTCTGCTACTAGTTTCCGTTTTCTTCCCCATCCAGGCATAAAGAGAAATACAGGCACTTGTAATTTTCTCTATGTCCCCAGCCTTGGCACTTCTTTTGGTGATATTGCTAGAGTGAAGTTGCTAAAAGGACAGACTAATCCACCCACTGAATAGCTAACTTGGAGAGGAAATGAAAGGTTGCTATGTGAATCCCCCAAAACCACTGTTCTCATCAGGCCCTCCCAGAGCCTCCCCACCCGCTTCATAGGGCAGCCCTATGTTCACTGGGCCCCAACCCACTAGTATTGTGCCTCACTTCAGCTTCCTCATGTAACTGCCCTCCCTTCTGGATAAAAGACCTCGTATTTGAAATAAAGTTGAAATATGAAACGAAAGTATATCATAAGATATTGAGAAATATTGTTTGTTTTGGCCTGAGGGTGGCAAGAAACCCAGAGACAAGATTCCTCCCTCCCGCCCCCCATTTCTTAAAAGTCCTATTCCCTGTCTGCCAGAGTCCTCTGGCTACAGAGAAGTTGGGTGGGAAGGAGATATGGAGGAGTTGGGCAGCCCTGTATAAAACACTCCAACAGGTCCCACCACCATCTTGGGTAGCGGTAGTGCAAGTTACCAGGGCCCAGCGCTTGAGTTCCCTGGCACCCAGCACCAGCTGCTGGGCTAGTGAAAGGGAACAGCTTGGGTAAAAGCCCGTGCTTCCCCTTGGGTGGGGGCCTCTTCTTCCTTAAGGGGCCCATCTAAGTTACATTCTGCTCCTTAAGCACCAGAGGGAAGAGCAAAGCCCTTTTCCCCATCGAGGGCAACCCTAAAGCAAAGGACAAAAAATAAGATGGAGAGGAAAAGCAAGGACCTCTGTCTAATCCAGAATGGAGTGATAGAAATAGATTTAAAGGGAGGAATCCTTGAAAAAGATCAAATTCTCATGTAGTATTGACTTCCACATCACCTGAATGATGAAAGAATCCAATTACCCACAAAGTAATGAGACAACGTTCCTAATAGGGAAGCCCTAACCCGAGAAGATTCAGATGCCTCATTACATCATAATGGCCAAGTTGTGATGTCGCCGCAGAGCACCCACTCTTTAGTACATGTTGTAAGTGAAACCAGATATGCTGAAGGGTAGACTCAGCATGAGGAGCAGACACCCAAGGAGAGGTAAGGGGGAGCTTTCCAGGGTTCTCTCTGTTGCTGACTGCCTAGGGTCCCTCTATGGCCCTACTGTCTCTACAGACCTCTCATATCTTAGTTTGGCTGTAGGTTTGTCTGAAATCCTTCCACAAACTCCTTCATTGCGTCTTTGCTATCCCAGATCCTTAGTACTTGCAGTTCTGATTGGTCAGCCCTCAGCTCTGGTACTGGAATTGGCTAAGGGCACAAACATGGCACAGAACACTGGAGCAGGGTTCCCCTAATTGAGGCAGAAACTCACTGTATCCATTTGGGTAGTCCCGGGGGAGATCCAAGTTTTTGGGTGCCTGAAGAATACAACTTTTGGAGCCTTTTTAAAGGAAAATAAATACATTAGGCACAAAAGTAAATGTTTTAGAACGAGAAGATAAAAACGTTACAATTTTTTAAAAGCTGACAAATCCTAGAAAATCAAGAAAAATAACAAATTTTGGGCCGGCCCGGTGGCCCTCTGGTTTGGCAACCTGGGATTTGCAGGTTTGGATCCTGGGTGCAGACCTACACACTGCTTATCAAGCCATGCTATGGCCTTGTACCATATACAAAACAGGAAGGTGGGCACAGATGTTAGCTCAGGGCCATTCTTCCTCAGGAAAAAGAGGAGGATTAGCAACAGGTTAGCTCAGGGCTAATCTTCCTCACCAAAAAAAAAAAAAAAAAGAACATTTCAAAAATTATCTTACCTGGCAAACATTTTTTCCTACAATTTTGTTTTTGGCTACATGCTCTTTGATAGCCTTTTCATGTGATTACTATATATAATGTTTTATATAAAGAGTGTAGAAAGGTAATTCAGTCTTCTACATAAGCATTTTTTAAAAATTCTTGGGGCCAGCCCCATGGCCTAGTGGTTAAGTTCAGCACCCTCCACTTTGGTGGCCCAGGGTTCGAGGGTTCAGATCCCAGGCACGGACCTAGACCAATCGTTAGCCATGCTGTGGCAGCAACTCACGTATAAAATAGAGGAAGACTGGCACAGCTGTTAGCTCAGGGCTAATCTTCCTCAGCAAATAAATAAATAAATAAATAAATAAATTCTTGATAATTTAGAAAAATTTCACCTTCACACTTTGTAAGTGATAAGGTCACATAATTTTTAAGGATTTTTGTCAAACTTGGGAAAAAAACTCTATCAAATTTCTATGGTATATGTGGTGTAAGATTTTGGAGCATTTCAAATTTGCAGTGACTAATGTCATATGCTCTGAATTGTTGACATTAGGAGTATTCTTGGAAGCTATATGTATTAGTTTGCTAGGGCTGCCATAACAAAATACTACAGACTGGGTAGCTTAAACAACAGAAATTCCCTCACAGTTCTAGAGGCTAGAAGTCTGAGATAAGGTGTCAGCAGGGTTGATTTCATTCTGAGGTTCCTCTCTCCTTGGCTTATAGATAGCCACCTTCCCCCTGTGTCTTCACATGGTCTTTCCTATGTTAGTGTCTGTGTCCAAATTTCCTCTTATTATAAGGACAACAGTCATATTGGATTAGGACTTACCCTAAAGACCTCATTTTAACTTAATTATCTCTTTATAGACCCTGTCTCCAAACACAGTTACATTCTGAGGTACTGAGAGTTCAGACTTAATAACATGAATTTGGGGGAACTCAGGTCAGCCCATAACACTATACCTACTATTTAACTATTCATAGAAGTAACTGCAAACCACAAATGTATACCTCCCAAACCCAGACTAAATGTATCCCCAACTCAACTTCCTTAGCCAATCCCAAAATGCCCGTGGACTCTCCAGTGCCACCTGACAAAAGGGGAAGTGTGATGGAGGGGAAGTCAGAAAGGAGAGAGACATCAATCTTAACCAATTGCAGTTTAAATATATATTTTTTTAATTTTACAAAAACTGACCACATTCACACATTGCTGGGACTCCTCCAGTGCTATGGAAGAGGTCTGTGCAAGGAAGGGCCCTGAAACTTCAGCTCCCTTAGCTGTAGGGTCCATGTGCCTCTGGTCAGTCCTGCTAATATCTGAGCCATGCAAAGGGAGAGATAATTTTCACCAAAATAGGAGATTAACATAATGAGTCCCCAATTCTTCAGCACTAGTTCCTGGAAGAGCTGGAAGGGTTATTGTCTTGCTAAAGTTGGGATCCTTCCCTCTCTGATATTGTTAGTCTGGATCTCTTCCTGTCTTCCGCTCCCCCACCCCAGTCCATTCCATCTTCTAAAGCTTTAGGGTGAAACCCACGGAAAAGAATGAGGCTTCAGCCTGCACTCCAGAACTGGGGCAAAGGAATTTCTTCTCCTTTGTCCTTTTCCCTTTTAGGAGAGGAATTCTCCCTCTCCTAAATTTGTCTTTGATTCTGCTCCCTACTCCTGACCTGGGAGTGAGTGTCTTTCCGAGACAAGAAAGGTGGCAGAGCTGTCCACCTTTCATAATTCCAAGGCCATGTTCAGTGATGCCCAGAATGCCTAACTGAACCCCCCAGGGGCAGGCGCTAAGTTCCCACAGAGTGCCTGCCTGCCTTCCCAGCCAAACCAGCATGAGTTCTTCCCAGTCAATCCAGTCTCATTAATTGTTTGGATTATGAGAGAATGACCTCGCCACTGAAAACTGAGGGCTGCTGCTGCCTAAAATGTTTCACTTTTCCCTTCCTTCATTACATGCAAACCACTGGGGCATTGTAACAGTCATGATTTAGGAGAAGGTCTGTATCTATCACCAGCCCTGGTTTAAACCCTGAGGGATCAAAAGTTTCTAACTCTAAAACTGAGTGTATGTCTTCTGTTGTTTACGCCTATGATGCTTTTGCTGGATACTAGTCGTTTGAAGGACGTGGGGCTGGCTCTTAGGAGTTGAGATTGTTACTAAATGTAATGAAGGAGAGGGGAGGCGGGGGCGAATACAGGGCCAGCAACAGAAAATAGGGCTCAGTGCTGAAGCAGATATAATATTTCAGGGTCTGGCAACCCTGAAAGAGCTCTAGACCATAAAGCCGAGCGATGAAGACTCAGAAGTAGCCGTTATGGTGGTTGGCTTTTGGGAGATACATGGGGAGAGGTGAAGTCTGCGAAATACAGGGCAAAGTCTGAAATTGTTTTATAAATTATTGTAAGTATATAAGCTATTAAGTGACCTAATAAGCAAGAAGAGACTTTTTCAAGGACCAGCATGGGAACAGAAGAGTCACTTCAGAAAGTATTGTTCCGAAGTTTTAGTCAGAAGACTGAGAATCCTAAATAGACAAACTTTTGGCCCAGAACTTCGGAGTGTGTGGAATTCTGCTTTGGTGAAAGATCCATTTTATTGTCATCCCTTCCTTGACAGCGAAAACCAAGGTCCCCAGATACGAGGCAGAGCTCCAGGTTCTCTTTACTAGGGCAGAGAGGGGGGCCTGGCGGTCTGGTAGGTCGCAACGAGCTGATCCCTCCAGCACTTCGTTTTTGAGAACACCTGTCCGATGCCAGCTGGACCCGGGAAGGGGCCAAAGGTGCCGGGCTGCTAGGATCCTCGTCTTTCCGGGTGGCAAGACATTTGATCCCTCAGCAACAAGTTCCCGGTTGCTCTAGGCGCTTCGTTTTCAGTGACGCTGCTGACGGCGGTTGGGCCCTCGGCCGGGAAGGCGCGGCTCGAGTGTAAGGCTGGCAAGGGGATGCTCAAACCGTCTTCCTCCAAGACGAAACAAATGGGGAGTAGTTGTAGGCGGTCTGGACAGTTCAGCAAACTGCCGTGAATTCCTTGGGGAATTCCGGGAGGAACACAGCTCAGTGTACTCCGAAGGTCCGGCGCCGATAGGTCGAGGGTTGGGGGAGGTACCATTCGCGGCACCCTGGCCCCGGGGGACAGCTTCCCTGCCCCACGCAGCCAATAGCCAACTTCAGCAGAGACCCACGCAGCCAATGGCCGGCCCAGTGCGTTCCGCGGTGCCCGCCTGCCCGCGCCCACCAATCGGGACTCGGGCCACCTTGGCACCGCCCCCGGGGCCCGCCCCACCCATCCGCCCCGCCTCCAACTCGCTGGAGCAGGGCTGGGCTAGCCGGCGCGCTCTCGGTGGCGGGGGGGCAGTCCCGGTCCCGGCCCTCCGCACGGGTGGGCTCGGAGCAGGCCGCACCGGGCGGGAACCCCACTCCCACCCCGGAGGCCCTCCTGCCCTTTCTCCCCCTTCCCCCCGCGGCCCATGGTGCGAGGCTGGGAGCCGCCGCCCGGGCCGGACCGCGGTGAGTGATCCCCAGCCCCTGCGACTTCCCCTCCCAGCCCCTGTATGATCTCCGACCTCCGGAGCCCCATCCCCGCGCTGGGGGGAGGAGAATTCTAGGTTCGAAGTCGCCCGGTTTTCCCTTCTCCTCTGGACTTTTCGGTTCCCTGTTGTAACTGGGGGAGGGCGAGTGGGTGTGTAGGGAGGAGGGGAAGGCTGGGTGGGACGCCCTTGGCGAGGGGAGAATTGAGATTCGCCTGCTCCCTGGGGCTCATCGCCCCAAGTGCAGCAACTTTTTGTTCTCTGACCCAGTTTGGAGCCTTCTAGACTGCCTGTGAAATGGAGGATAGGAGAAACGTTTCCTTCCCAGGCCTCCCCCCCACGACTACCTCCTGGTGACCTCAACACACGTACAGAAACCTGGCCTTAATTCTGGGGAGCAGTGGCCTTTGGGAGTGAAAGGTTTAGGAGAAACTGCCCCTTCTGACCCCCTACCCAGCCATACTCAGAAAACCAACCAGGAAAGTGAGAACCCCAGTCCTCAGAGGTTCCTGGTGTTGCGTCCTAATCTGAGACTTCTAAACTGAAAGAAGACTCAAGCTGAGACCTGTGTGGTAATGTGGGCCCAGATCAGATCTTGTATCATATGAACCTCCTCCTCACCATACATTTGAAGTCTTTTTATATTATATGATTAAGATAGGTAGATGGCAGTAACTGAAAAAACCAAAACAGCCAGTTCAAGTTGGGAATTTTTTAAATGATGCAAATAAATATCAAGCATTGTCATTAAAAGTACGTTCATTTCACCAATCTTTTGGGGTAGTGTCCAGGCGTGTTCTTTGTGTAAGTCTGCTGGTTGGAGTTCCCAATTGCCTTTCTAGTATAAACTACACAAGCAAATCTCAAATCTGGCTGCACCCTGAGAACTTTTTAAAACTACTGATGCCTGGGCCCCAGTCCAGACTAATTAAGTCAGAAAGAGTAGGAGGATGCCTGGGTTTAAGTTTCCCAGGTAATTCTAATGTGCAGTCCTGCCGCTCATCACCTATGATTACCAGGTTTGGTTTCTTTAAAGTGGAGTGAGAATTTAAACACTTTTAAGGCAATCTGAATGCAGAATACTTTTGAGATTTTTAAGTCACCTTAAAAAATCTTTTACAGTTGTCTTACCTACTCTCAACAATTTTTAAAATGTACACTCTTTTGTATTGTCTTTCCAAAGCATTTGACTTTGTTTTCATAGGAAAAGTTTTTAATGCACTAATTTTTCATAGGTTTATGTGATGTTTAATTACATTATTATATAAATACAGAAAAACAACAGGCATAACCAGGTTTGGAATCACACACAGCTGGCCCAGGCACACAGGGCAGCTGAAGGAAACAGATGATTTTGGCACACTTAGAGAGAAGCCTCCCCGGCTCTGGTGTCCAGTGCACTGTGGGTAGTGGTCATGTAATCCAGTGGGTCAGTTAGGCCAGGCTCCTGGCCTGGTTGAACACTCCTCCCTTCCACTCTCTCCAGCTAATATCACCAATACCCAGTCCCTTCTAGGCTTATTCAAATTCTCTTGAGTCTTCCATCCACTCTTTCCATCCCAGTTCATCCCAGAACTTTTTGTTCTTCTTTAAGCAGTTACCACCATTGCCTTTATTAAGTTTTGAGGACATAACACAGAGGTTCTTAACTTGGGCTTCTGGGCAGCCAGTGAACCCCCTGAGATTATATATATAATGTGTAACTGTGGATGTTTATTGGGGGGGGGAGTCATAACTTTCTAAGGTGCTTTTATCCGATTCTCAAAGAGGTTCATGATCCAAAAAGTTAAGAAGCACATCAGTTGAAAATCACTAAAAGTCCTTTAACGCCCTTACAACTGTATCACCAAAACACATTTCAGGCCTTCTTCAGTTCTCTGAATAAAGATTTAGGGAATTTAGCAGGATCATATCTAGGGTCCCACTCAAACTTTCTCCTGCTTTAATCATAAGCCTAGGCTCAAGCCTAAAGTTCCAAATACCCATTTTTCTAGGATTGTGTGAACACCTAGATAAGTTTAAGGCAGCCCATTCTTTTCTGCCATCTGCCCAGGAGTATGGAAAGCCCAAAGGGAAAGAAGTTTTTATCCTGGCTCTTTATTTTTAATTAGTGACTTTAAGTAGCAGTAGGACATATCTGACATATTTAATAAGGATACAAATTTAGTAATTACTCAGACTTGATAATCCCACCACCCCTGCCACCACCTCTGCCCACCACCTCTTTCTCCAGCTTTGATTCCCTTCTTTTCCTGCCCTCACCAAATGGAGGCACAAGAACACAAGACACTGTAGTGTCTTCACTGTGGTTTTGATTACCATAACGTCTACCCTACTTGTTAGAGTTCTCATGAGCCACTCTCTGGTTGTAGCTTCTTCCTAATTCAAAGCCAGATTCTTCCAGGGAGGTACCAGCTATATAGCTGTGCCTTGATTTAAGCCACCATTCTATATCAAAAAGTCTTCCACAACTTGTGTTTTGTGTAATTGGAAAACTGTGGATATATATAGTACACCAAATATGATCTTTGCATTACTGCACGTTACATTGAAATATCAACCTGATCCCATGAGAATCTGAGGGATCACAAACCACATGAATGAAAGCAAAAATGCCTCCTGTAGGCTTCTCACTGTGCCTGCCTTATGTTCTGGTTTGGCAGTCTTCATCCTTACACTGGACTGCTTTATTCCTTATGCTACATTTCCTTCTTATCTAAGGTGTTATTGTGTCGGTAAGAACAGGACACAGATAAGGTAACGTAGGTGTCAAATATTGCAATCATAAAGTATTCTCCAGCTTAGATTTGGTGGTATTCCTGGTGGGCCACAATTTCTAAATGGCTGTGCAAGCAAGTCCTCACAGGCCACTCAGCTGTGTCTGGGATGAACCTGGAGGGTAAAGATAGAGCTACCACATTGCAATCCACCTGGCAGTCAGAAAGGCTTTATATCCAAATTATGGATTCAGTTCTCCTAAAGCAGTGATTTTCATTTTTTAAAGCAGCAAAATCCATTCTGGAATTATATCCAACTCCCAAAATATAAAATCATAGATACCCTGGTTTCCTCTACTGCCCATTAGAATTAGGACTCTGCAAAAACAGATTGAAAACAGTGATTTTAAAGGATTTCAGTCTTTGCCTCACTCCCCCCATTGTCTAGGAGGAGCATTATCTTATATCAGAATCACCCCATGAGGCTGAAGTAATGATAAAAGCTGTTATTTATTGAGCCTTTACTCTGTTCTAGGCATAATGTCGAGTGCATTTTTTCATTTAGTCATCAACTTGTGAAGTAGGTGCTATTCTGACCTCCTGTGTTTCTGATGGGAAACGAAGGATTAGAGAGGGTAAATAACTTGCCCAGGGACAGCAGCACTGTAGGAAGTGGTGGAGCTACAGTTCATCTCAAATCTGCCTCACCTGGACCTCCCCATCTAACATGCTTTAGGCCCTGCCTACACATGACACCTAGCACATAGTAGGTGCTCCATAAAAAGATATAACTTCACACACACTCAGCACTGTCTCCATGTTTTACACATGAAGAAACCAAGTCTCATATAAGTTCAGTAACTTGTGCTCAAGATCACATAGCTGCTAACTGCAGAACTGGGATTCAAACTGCAGGCTGGCCTTACTCAAGAGTCACACTGCTACCCACTATGCCATGCTGCCTCGGTTTACCCTTTAAGGTTCTCTTCCAGCTGTGTTGCCTTAGGATCTGCATGGTCTTCAGTTTGTTAGATTAACTTGTTAAAAGGGAATGGTGACACACATTAAAATGCTACCAAATCCTTCTAATCATCATATAAAAGCCCTGATATGACACTGCTCTATCTGTAACTTTCTGGACTCGAGAGTTTCCTCAATTGATCATGTAGCATTTACACAGGAATCCTGTCCCATCCTTAACATATCAGAAGTAACATTTATAAACTCAGATGGGATTTCTCTAAGAGTAAAGGGTGACAGATGTGTTAAAAAAGTCTCTAATGCCCACACATAGAGCTGAGTTAAAATTCGGTCAACAGAATTGTACTGGGAAATAACTTGAGCAGGTATTTCAGGAATGAAGCATAGTCGGGGGCCATTCCCGCAGTCTCCACACCCATAACCCCCAGACTGGTGGTGTGGCTGGGCAGCTTGCAGGACCTGGCTACAATTTATAATGAGCCTGCCCACCTGGTCAGAAGAAAGCTGGACCGAAGAGATAAGAGCTGCAGGCCTTCTGCCCTGTGTGGAAGGGACTGTTCAAGTCTGAGGGAGCTCTCTAGGCTCCCTGGAGAGAGACTAAGCAGTTGGAAGAGACAAAGGCTGGGGGGAGGGGATAACCTTTGTTCCAAGCACGACTTGGGTTGGGGGAACAGTCCCCTCTCTCTACCTCACCCGACCTAAACCCACGTGGAGTAAGCCTCATTTATCCCAGATATCTGACCTCTCCTACGCAAAGAAAAAATAAAGCTATCAGGTTTGGGCTTAGGGCTTAAAGGTACTATCATTCCCCTCCCCCAGCACTCCACCACCACCAAGGGAAAGAAAAGGGGGCTGGGCAGAGGAACAGTGCTGTCCTACCTTCTAGATATTCATCCACTGTACTCCTGACCTTTCTCCACATTCTAGAGATAATCACAAATTGTTAGGAGCTAAAAACGTTTGGAACAGTTCTCAGATTACTGCTCCTCTTGTTTTTGTGGCTGAGTCTTCATTTTGTGACTCTTGTTCCATGAACTTAGAGGGTGAAGTGAGTTTGAATTGGAAAGATAAAGACTATGAAAGGACGAGTTTTCCTCCTTAACCTCTAAAGACAGATTTCTGTCTTGGTTACAATACTCACTAGTCATGTGACTTGGGTAATTTAACTTCTATGGTTTTTTCATCCGTACAGTGGGAATTATAGAGGCTCTGATGACTGCATAAGGTTATGAAAATTAAATGGGAAACTTAAAGCATTTGAAAAGCAATCCAGCACGGTACACATAGGAAGTTGATTGTTTTGGAGTCCAACATTTTGTTTGGTAGAAACTGAGCAATGGGCCAAAAGAGGAGCCCCAGTGATTGAGCTGTTTCTCTTCTTATTACAGCTATCTCTGAAGGGCACAAATCAGAAAACACCATGCCTCCTAATAAAGAGGCCAGCAGTCTTAATAGCTCCCCTGCGGGGCTCATCTGCCTCCCTCCAATCTCCGAGGAGCTCCAGCTTGTGTGGACCCAGGCAGCCCAGACCAGTGAGCTGGATGGCAATGAACACTTGCTACAAACCTTCAGCTACTTTCCCTATCCCAGTCTAGCAGACATTGCCCTTCTCTGTCTACGCTATGGGCTGCAGATGGAGAAAGTCAAGACTTGGTTCATGGCCCAGCGCCTCCGCTGTGGCATTAGCTGGTCATCTGAAGAAATAGAAGAGACTCGAGCCCGAGTGGTCTACCATCGGGACCAACTCCATTTCAAATCCCTTCTCTCTTTTACTCATCATGCAGGGCGGCCCCCAGAGGAGGTGCCTCCTTCTCCAGTGCCACCTCCACAACAAGTTGGTCTTGGAATAGTGCCCCTGACTCTTAGCGAGCCCACCCAGATGAAAGGATTGAAGGTAGAGCCTGAGGAGTCCTCAGAGCCACTGAGTCACCAGAAAGCAAAGGAGCCCCCGATGGCACCTGGCAGTGGGGCATTCCCCCACCAATCAAATTTTTGGCAGGATCTTCAAAGTAGTGGCCTCTCTAAGGAGCAGGCAGGCAGGGGTCCCAACCAGTCACATGGCCGAGGTACTGCTTCCTGGAACCACTCCACAACTGTCCACCAGCCACGTGCTCGGGATAAGCCCCCACCAATCTCATTACCTGCCAGTAGTTGTAAGCAGGAGTCAGCATCTAATATGACTCCTTCTTCTTCCTCTACCTCTTCTTCCTCTTTCCAGGTACTGGCTAATGGAGCTACTGCCACCTCTAAACCCCTCCAGCCACTGGGCCGTACCCCACAGCCACGGTCACCCAATGAACAGGCACTACCCCCACATCTGGAGCCAGCCTGGCCCCAGGGGCTAAGGCATAACTCAGTACCAGGTAGGGTTGGCCCTGCAGAGTACTCTTCCCCAGATATGCAACGCCAGCGAAAGACCAAGCGCAAAACCAAAGAACAGCTGGCTATCCTCAAGTCTTTTTTTTTACAGTGCCAATGGGCACGGCGGGAGGATTACTATAAATTAGAACAGATCACTGGTTTACCTCGGCCGGAGATCATTCAGTGGTTTGGTGACACACGCTATGCCTTGAAGCATGGGCAACTAAAATGGTTTCGGGACAACGCAGTCCCTGGTGCCCCTAGTTTCCAGGACCCAGCGATTCCCACACCACCGCCTTCAACCCGCTCCTTGAATGAATGGCCTGAGACACCACCTCTGCCGGCTCCCCCACCCCCACCAGATATACGACCCTTGGAGAGGTACTGGGCAGCCCACCAACAGCTACGGCAAAGTGACATCCCTCAACTGAGTCAGGCGTCAAGGCTTAGCACCCAACAGGTATTGGATTGGTTTGACTCTCGATTACCTGAGCCAGCTGAGGTGGTGGTTTGTCTAGATGAAGAGGAGGAAGAGGAGGAGGAAGAACTGCCAGAAGATGAAGATGAAGAAGAGGAGGAGGAGGAGGAAGACGAGGATGATGATGTCATCATACAGGACTGAGTGGGCGGCTGGGGGCGGGGAGGTCTGTTACTAAAAGATGAACCAACTTAGTAACATTTAAACAAAGAAACCACATTTTTTAAAATTACTTTGTGGCAAAGAACTGAAAAGTTTTGTGTTCTTGAGGTTGGTGGACAGGGAGATGTAGTGAGGGTGGACCAGGGAGGATGACCATAGCGCACAAAGTGATGTGAGGATTGGAAATCCAGACCTCTAGCCTCAGTGAAGAGAGCACTAAGGATCTGGTCCAAACTACGAGCCAGATAAAGGCTCTTGCTCATAGCTGCTGTTCTTTTCCCTTAGTGTACTACAGAGAGGCCAGACCTTGGCCCCACGTCTATAGGAGGATTGGAAAGGAGGAGTAAAGAATTTTGATTCAATTGATGATTCCAGTGCCTCCCCCAGTCCCACCATTTTCTCTGGAATATAAGGCTGCCTTGCACCCCTTTCTCTCTGAGCACAAGTCCATGCACAATGCAGCAAAGAATCTCAATATGTCCCAGTCTTATCACAAACACTCTCTTCCTCATACCAACTTGACTGTGTATGTTTCACCTGCTTCATTATTGTCACACAGGTAGCAGAATGTTTTCTGATACTGGGACCACTTTGCCTTGTACCTTTTTAACTCTTTCCAGAATCCCCATTCTGTTCACTATTTGTCTCAGGGTAAATCTTCCCCACGGAGCTTGTGAAAAAGTTTAATGATTTGGTGGAGAATAATTTAGACCAGATATTTATTGGAGATGGGACTTAGGGGAGATGTCCTTTAAAAAAGTAGATTAGGTTACAGAGGGATAGAGGAGAGGGAATGGTTTCGACTGTTCAGAAGGATGGTGCAGGTAGGTTCCAGGTTTGGTTTTACAAACCTGACACTTCCTCCTGCCTAGCTTGACAGACATTGATTTGTCATCTTTTTGGTGTTGGTTCAATTTTTGTCCAGAAAAGAGACTTTTTCCTCTCTTTATAAGATCTGTCTTGGGGACAAAGGGACCATGGTCTTTAACTGAACTAATTATTGATGTGTTAGAATGGTTCTCATCAGTTGGGGTCAGATATAACGATATCAGTGGGTTAACCATCTAGAAATAAAAGAGTGGAAGGCCCAAATTTCTAGAATAATAATAAAAAGGCCAAAAATAAAATTGTTTCTCTCTCTTCCACTTTGCCATTTCTATGGTTTAGAGACTAATGGAGCCAAATCCATTAACATTCTGATTTAGTATACTCTATTTATTTATTTATTTTTTGAAGCAGCAGGATATTCTGAGGTAGATTAAGAGAACAAAAACTTTAAAAGGCAGTAGATCAGGGGCCAGCCCTGTGGCACAAGCGGTTAAGTGTGCGCGCTCCGCTGCGGCAGCCCGAGGTTCGCCAGTTTGGATCCCGGGCGCGCACCGACGCGCTACTTGGCAAGCCATGCTGTGGCGGCGTCCCATATAAAGTGGAGGAAGATGGGCACGGATGTTAGCCCAGGGCCAGTCTTCCTCAGCAAAAAAAAAAAGGAGGATTGGCAGATGTTAGCTCAAGGCTGATCTCCTCACAAAAAAAAAAAAAAAAAAGGCAGTAGATCAGTATCTATCACTGGGCATATTGTTTCCTGCACGTGCTATGGCACAGGTTCTTGCCTAGAAGAAGAGGTGTCTAGAAATGCCTTTAAAAATAAATTCAGAGTTCCAGAAAGGGTAGTGGGATCCTAATTCAGCTTCAAGTCATTCCCAAGACCTAATTTATTTCTGGCAGATGCTGGCTATCTTTACATTTTTCCAGTATTTTTGATTAAGGCCTGCCTGCTAGTGGCCCAGCCATGTAATTCCTCATTTCTACCTCTTAGTACCCAAAGAAAAATAAATGTTTGATTAGTGGTAGTGTTCTTTGCCCATTCCACCATTCTAGAGCCTGTAATACCAATAGAGTTGCAATACCAATAAAAGGGCATCGTCTTTATTTTATTATGTATGTACTTTAGTAAGCTGAAAGTCTGTGTCTGCAACTGTTACCAGACAGAAAGGAAAATGAACACATTTAACAGTAACTAGGCATAGAGGAAACAACAGGCAAATAGAAAAGGTATAATAAATTAGGACAAGGAACAGAGTTGTTGCTTGTTAACATTGGCAATGGGAGGATATATATCCAAAACTAAAAAATGAAATCCAGAAATAAAACACAGTTAATGAGTATATTACCACCCACACCCAATGATGCCAAGAATTGTTTTTCCAACCTTTGTTTCAAGTTCTAAGAAGTGAGGGAGCTACATATGTTTTGTGAGAGAGATATAAACATCTTCGTGAAGCACAAGCCTTATATAAGACCTGACCACCTTCCTAGGAGGTAATACAGGGTGTATATGGTAAAGATCGAGGAAGATAAGGTACAGAGTGAAACCAGGAAACAAGGCAGGGGTACATTTTCCAAGGCCATCATGCCTAACGGATATTGGATGCTATAGTCCGTCCTTCAGCTGTATGTATACATCAGACTTTGAAGATGGTCTATCTGGAAGTGGTCCATGCTTCTCTCCCCCTGGCTAATCCCATCTGTCTCTGTTGGTAGAGAGTCTGCAGCAGACGACAGGAAGGCAGATATGGGTGTTTATAACAAAAAGGGCAAGTAAGGCCCTCTTAAGCCATTATATGAAGTTTATTGGGACAGTAAACCATCGCTGTTAGTTCCCCATCGTTTTCTCCATTGCATGATAACTAACTTTTCCAAACTCAGATTTGATACACCTAGTGTGACAAAGGCTTTGTTGCTACTTTTGAAACTCTCTGGAACATTTCAGTGTTTTATGGTGATAGTATGGCAGAATATTTGAAACAAACTCTTTTGGGAGATCTGAAACATATGACTACCATGCCCAGAGATGACTACCAGGGAGGCAGAGTTCTTATGCCTCTTGGGAGGTGGCATTTTCTTTAATAACTTTTTTTTTTAACTTTATTATGGGAATTTTCAAAAAATACAAAAGTAGAGTATTATAATAAACTCACATGTATCTATCACCCAACTTCAACAAATAACTCATGGCCAATTTTCTTTCATTTCTACTCTCACTGCCCTTCTCCACTAGAGAAGTCTCGTCTCCTTTGCAGGTTAATCTCTCCATTTGTGAGGATCTGAGAGAAGGGTGTTATTTCCCCAGTGTTGTCTCTTAGGGCTTAGACCCTAATTTCCTTTTTTTTTTTTTAAAGGGAAGCTGATTTCATTTATTTATTTATTTATTTATTTTTTGCTGAGGAAGACTGGCCCTGGGCTAACATCCAGGCACACCCTCCTCTACTTTATATGGGATGCCACCACGGCATGGCTTGCCAAGCGGTGCACTGGCGCACGCCTGGGATCCGAACCGGCGAACCCCGGGCTGCCCCGCCGTAGCAGAGCACACGCACTTAACCGCTTGCGCCACCAGGCCAGCCTCAGACTCTAATTTCTTGCTGATGAAAATAAAGGGCATTTTGGAATATGAAAGCAAAATATTTACATACTTTAGTACGTCCCTGGGGTCACCAGGAGCTTGGCTTGGAAAAGGGCCTACATATCCTCAAAAGCCCAGCCATAAAAATTAATTTAAAAAGCAAGACTGGACTTTTCATTTAATAGAGCTTCTTACAAACCTCTCTTCTCATTCCCATGCCCTTTTCCTCTTGTTGCCTGGATCAGAATCATAGTCACATAAATTTACGAAACATTCTAGCTATCTCTGGAGAAGCAAATGTGGTTTTCCCTAGTTCAAGCAGTACCTCCACCCCAGAGATATATTCCATGGAAAACATTTTTTTGTGGAACTTCTGGGAATGTCAGTTGTGTCCAGAAACTTAGTTCCCAATGGCCAAGACCTCTCAGTTTAAAGCCTTTGATTACTATGTGATCTAATTTTTAAACCCCAAACCAGGAAGCTAATCTGACAGGATAGAATCTTTGAAACTAAGACCATTCTGGAAAATTATGAACATATGGTTACCACACTTGATACCCATGTCATGCTCCACTGGTTACATTCTAACCTTAACAAGAGGCCAGAATGAGGCATTTAGTGTGGAGAGGCCCAACTGTGGGAGCTTTTCATGCACAGACAACTTAGACTAGCCAGGGCTCACCTGCAGGACTGGTAGCTGGAAACCAGAAAGGCTCTCTGGTGTGGTTCTCATCTCCCTCTGACCTGAAGGATAGAGTGGATGGTGAAAGATAACTTCCTTGGGCAGTTCCTTGGCAGTGTTACTTATGGATCTGGGTAAATGGGTAGTTCCCAATCTGCAGCACAGTACTCAGAGGGAAAAGACTGTTGGCTAAGCAATTTAAGAAGTGGGTTATAAAGTCTATTCTTTTCCTGTGAGGATGGGGTGCTGACAGAGAGGTCTGAGATTTGAGTTTAACTTTGAGTAGAAAGATGTAGAGACAATATAAAGATTTTGGTGAGCTATGGAAGATGATAGCCCCTTATCAAGAGGACTGGTAACAGAGGTACTTTTCTGAAAAGATGGAGAGAAAAAAGGATACTGGTTTTATCATTCTCATTCAGAACTGAGCTCCCAGCAATGTTCAAACATAGGAATCCCCCCCCCCTCAAAAAGCCAGTTTAATTTTTAATTCGTCAGGCAACCTTCTGCCTAAATAGCAGGACTAGACTGGTGACAGGATGAGCGCTATTTAGGCAAAGCCCAAAGCCTCCCTTCACTGTGAAGGAGATGCGATAACTCTTAAAGAACATTAAGGAGTCGAACTGGAGACAATGCTCTTGTGGGGTGTGGGCGGGGGAGGGCAAATCTCAACTTCTTTTCACCCTGAAAATCTTCATTTTAGAATATATGTCAATGGTTGAAGCTCCACTCCTTTGGGAATGTTATTTAACTTACCTGAATTGTTGGGGGTGAGGACTCTTGTGTGGCCTGAATCCCCACCATTTAGGGATGGTCTGAAAGGAAAGAGCCCTTGTCCAGAGGAGGCAGATGAAGGTCTAAGAAGGGAAATAAAAGCATCAGCAGAAGAGAAAGGGTAAAGGTAAAAAGCATATGTAAAGGAAGAGCCTATACATTTAGACCAGAGAAGAATAAATCCCCTGCTTGCAACTGAGAATAAAGTTAAGTAATTCAGACATATATTAGATAGTCCTATTTAACCTTCTCTTTTGTTTACATGGTAGATTATAAACCTCAGTGGTACAGGCCAGCCGAGCAGTAACCCCAGGGCTGCTGGCAGAGTATCAGTGTGAACAGATCCCAAGTGAAAGGAAGCATAGTGGTACTCACCTGTAAGATAGGCTGTGAGTGGAAGCTGGTGAAGGGGTTTCTGCAAAGCATAAAAATGAGCTTGTGAGATAATCCATGAACTGGAGAAGAGATTCAGGTATACTGGGGGCCAGGGCAAAGGAACGGGAGATCAAAGGTTTTCAGTAACATATGTTAGGCTTAGGGGCTAATGGCAAGTGAAAAAGCTCACAAGTCACCTAGCTGTGTCTCATACAGGAGCTTTCCTCTCCCTTTCATGAGTTTGTGGGCCAGGATCCATCACTGCCTTGATGTGCCCTAATGTATCTGTGCCTTGGTTTCCCCTCTAAGATGGAGGTTGCCAGAAAGAATGGCTAAAGGCAAAGGGTCATTAAATTGGCAAGGAATGACATCAGCAAAAATGGTGGAGTAAGGACCTACAAAAATTCTCTCCATAAAAGGAATGAGAAAACTGCCAAAATTGTCAGAATCAACTTTTTCAGAACTCTGGAAATTAACAAAGAGCTTGCAGCAATCTGAGGAATGTCCAGAAAAATAGCTGAATGTGAGTAAGGACAGCAAGCTCTATGGCATTTTAACTTGCCCTATTCCCATTTCTCCTTCAGCTCCATGGTAGCCTTGAAAACCAAGGCTTTCAAAGCCTCATTCCCAAAGAATTGTCATCATAGACCTGTTGAGTGGTTCACTGGAGACTCCACTTGCAAGGCTGCATTTATTTGACCTGACTTGGAGCCCAAACTCACCAGGACTTGGAGCTTAGAGTTCACCAAGTGTGAAAAGCCTTTTCCCCAGGAGTGTTTGTGGCAAACAATTAGAGACACCTGTTTAGGCTGCCTGGGGAGGTGAATATCAATGGGGTAAACAATAGGCTAACCAAAAAGCATAAAAGGAAAAGCTGGGGAATGAGCTGTGCGTGAGGACTTTGGAAAGCAACAACAGATTTTGGGAAATCTAGCCACGTGCATGTGCAGAACTGTGTGCATGCTCAGGAAAGACCTGAAAAGGACTTAAGCTCTCATCTGGGGCTTACTTTGAGGTCATATAAGCAAGAAGTGAAGGCTAAGGCACAGTTATCAACTGCCTGGCTGAGTGTTGAAAGTGCACCCCAACACACACAGAGAGTCCCTCAGCAAAGATGGAGAGACTTACTGGCTCCAGGTGTTTAAGGAAATCTTTGTCCAATCATTAGCTGACCATGAAGCTAACCAAATAGAGACTTCAGCGGCCATACATGACAAAGAATATGGATTTTACAGAATTAGTTTTAAAAAGTCACTAAACAACAATGAACAGCAACAACAAACCCTGGGGAGGAGGAAGAATCTAATCCTAGAGTTGCCACATTATATTATTTTAAATGTCCAGTTTTCAACAAAAAATTATAAGGCATGCAAAGAAACAAGAAAGTATCACCCATAAAGGAAAAAAGCAATCAATAGAAACTGTCTTTGAGGACACCCAGACATTGGACTTTCTAGATAAACACTTTAAATCAGCTATTTTAAACATGTTCAAATAACTAAAGGAAACCATGTCTAAAGCACTAAAGGAAAGTATGAGAATGGTGTCTCAACAAATAGAGAATACTAATAAAGAAAAATTATATTAAAAAGAACCAAATAGAAATTCTGGAATTGAAAAGTACAATAACTAAAATGAAAACTTCACTAGAGGGGCTCATCAGCAGATATGAGCAGGCAGAAGAAAGAATCAGCAAATCTGAAGATACATCAATTGAGATTACCCATTGTGAGACGGAGAAAAAAAAAAGAATGAAGGAAAATGAATAGAGCCTCAGAGACCTTGGTGGAACACCATCAAGCATGCCAACATATACATGATGGGAGTTCCAAAAGGAGAAAAGAGAGGAACAGGGGCAGAAAGAATATTTGAAGAAATAATGGCTGACAACTTCCCAAATTAGATGAAAAACATTAATCTATGTATCCAAGAAGCTCAACAACCTCCAAACAGGATAAACTCAAAGAGATCCACACCTAGACGCATCATAAACTGTTGAAAGATGAAGACAAAAAAAAGAACCTTGAGGGCTGGCCCAGTGGCATAGCAGTTAGGTTTGCACACTCCGCTTTGGCAGTCCAGGGTTCACTGGTTCAGATCCTGGATGCGGACCTACTCACCCCTCATCAAGCCATGCTGAGGTGGCGTCCCACATAGAAGAACTAGAAGGATGTACAGCTAGGATATACTACTATGTACTGAGGCTTTGGGGAGGAAAAAAAAGAGGAAGATTGGCACAGATGTTAGCTCAGGGCCAATCTTCCTAAAAAAAAATTAAAAAATACAAAAAATGCCTAAAAAAAAGGAACCTTGAAAGCAGCAAGAGAGAGGCCACTCATCCATGCAAGGGAACCTCAATAAAATTAGCAGTGATTTCTCCTCAGAAACCACAGAAGCCACAACACAGGGGATAACATATTCAAAATGTTGAAAGCAAGATTGTCAACCAAAAATTTTAAATCCAGCAAAACTATCCTTCAAAAATACAGGGGAAATTAAGACATTCCCAGACAAACAAAAATTGAGAGAATTCATCACTATCAAACCTGCCTTATAAGAAAAACCAAAGGGAGTCTTTCAGGCTTAAATGAAAGGACACTGGACAGTAACTCAAATCTACATTAAGAAATACTAAAGTATTTCTTTATGTAAAAGTAATTACATAGGTAAATATAAAAATATAGGTGTATTTTTGTTTGTAACTTTTTTCTCCTATCTGATTTTAAAGAAAACTGCATAAAACAATAATTATAAATTTGTGTTGATGAGTACACAATTTATAAAGATGTAATTTATATGATAACAGTACAATGGAGTGGGGATAGAATGGAAGCAAACTATATAGGAGCAAAGGTTTTGTATACTGTTCAAATTGTTTGGTATTAATCTGAACTAAATTGTCATAAATTATGATGTTAATTATAATCCCTGAGAAAATCACTCAAAAATATAGTAAAGAAAACCAACAAGGGAACTAAAATGGTACACTAGAAAACATCTACTTAATATAAAAGAAGGCAGTAATGGAGGAAGTAAGGAACAAAACAGACACAAGACATAGAAAACAAATAGCAAAATAGCAGAAGTCTTTTTCCGTATCAGTAATTATATTAAATGTAAATGGATTAAACTCTCCAATTAAAAGGGAGAAACTGGCAGGATGGAGAACAAAAAGATCCAACTATACACTATCTACAAAAGACTCACTTTAAATTCAAAGACAGGGCCGGCCCCGTGGCTTAGTGGTTAAGTGCGTGCGCTCTGCTGCTGGTGGCCCGGGTTCGGATCCCGGGCGCGCACCGACGCACCACTTCTCCGGCCATGCTGAGGCCGCATCCCACATACAGCAACTAGAAGGATGTGCAGCTATGACGTACAACTATCTACTGGGGCTTTGGGGGAAAACATAAATAAATAAAATTATTAAAAAAATAAAATAAATAAATTCAAAGACACATATAAGTTGAAAGTAAAAGGATGGAAAAAGATATTCCATGCAAACAGTAAACAAAAGAGAGCTGGAGTGGCTAATATCAGACAAAAGCACTTGAAGACAAAATTGTTACTAGAGTCAAAGGTCAAAATAATAACAGGGTCAACCCATCAGGAATATCTAATACTTATAAATACATATGTACCTAATAACAGAGTCCTACAATACATGAAGCAAAAACTGACAGAATTGAAGAGAAAAATAGATAATTCAACAATAATAGTTGGAGACATCAATACCCCCCTTTCAATAATGAATAGAACAACTAGACAGAAGATCAGCAAGGAAACAGAAGATTTGAACAACACTACACACCAACCAAATCTAACAGACATCTATAGGAACTTCACCCAACAACAGCAGAATACACATTCTTCTCAAGTGTACATGGAACATTCCCCAGGACAGACCATCTGTTAGGTCATTAATTTAAAAGGATCTAAATCATACAAAGTATTTTTTCCAACCACAAGGAAGTGAAATTAAAAATCAGAACAGGAGGAAGTTTGGGAAATTCACATATATGCAGATATTAAACAACAAACTGCTAAATAATCAATGGGTCAAAGAAAAAAAAATCACAAGAGAAGTTATAAAATACTTTGAGATGAATGAAAACAAAAATACAACATACTAAACCTTATAGGACGCAGTGAAAGCAGTGCTTAGAGCAAAATTTATAACTGTAAATATCTATATTAAAAAAGCAGATCTTAAGTCAAGCAGAAGGAAAGAAATAAAGATTAGAGGAGAAATAAATAAAATGGAGAATAGAAAAACAATAGAGAAAATCAACAAAACCAAAACCTGGTTCTGTGAAATGATCGACAAGATTGACTAGTCTTTAGCCAGACTGTCCAAGCAAAAAAGAAGGAAGCCTCAAATAGCTAAAATCAAGAATGAAAGAGGGAATATTACTACTAACCTGACAGAAATAAACTGGCTAGAACATCTACATTTTTCAAAGGTGTGGATATGAAAGAATTGGAGGGAGACTATTTGGTGAATTTCAAAAATGGTTATCTAGAAAGAGATTTGCAAACTTCAAAACTGACTCTTGTGGGAAAAATAAACAAATGGGACTACATCAAACTAAAAAGCTTCTGCACAGCAAAGGAAACCATCAACAAAATGAAAAGACAACCTAACAATTGGGAGAAGATACTTGCAAATCATATATCCGATAAGGGGTTAATATCCAAAATATATAAAGAACTCATACAACTCAACTACAAACAAACAAACAACCTGATTAAAAAATGGGCAGAGGAGGGGCCAGCCCCGTGGCATAGTGGGTAAGTTCGGCGTGCTCCTCTTCAGCGGCCCAGGTTCGCAGGTTCAGATCCCAGGCGCAGACCTACACCATTCGTCAGCTATGCTGTGCTGGCGACCCACAAATAAAGTAGGGGAAGACTGGCATAGATGTTAGTTCAGGGCTAATCTTCCTCAAGCAAAAAAAAAAAGAAGAGGAGGATTGGCAACAGATGTTAGCTCAGGGTGAATCTTTATCAGGGGGAAAAAAAAAATGGGCAGAGGATCTGAACAGACGTTTTTTCCAAAGAAGATATACAGATGGCCAATAGGCATATGAAAAGATGTCGGGGCCAGCCCCATCGTGTAGTGGTTAAGTGCACGTGCTCCGCTGCTGGCGGCCCAGGTTCGGATCCTGGGCTTGCACCGATGCACCGCTTGTCAGGCCATGCTGTGGCAGCGTCCCATATAAAGTAGAGGAAGATGGGCACAGATGTTAGCCTAGGGCCAGTCTTCCTCAGCAAAAAAGAGGAGGATTGGCAATGGATGTTAGCTCAGAGCTGATCTTCCTCACAAAAAAAAAAAAGAAAGAAAAGATGTCAAGATCACTAATTATTAGGGAAACACAAATCAAAACCCCAATGAGATATCTCCTCACACCCGTAAGAATGGCTATTATTAAAAAGACAAGAAATAACAAATGTTGGAGAGGATGTGGAGAAAACAGAGCCCTCATACACTGCTGGTGGGAATGTAAATTGGTGCAGCCATGGAAAACAGTCTGGAGATTCCTCAAAAAATTAAAAATAGAAATACCAGATGATCCAGCTATTCTACTTCTGGGTATTTATCCAAAGAACACAAAAACCCTAATTCGAAAAGATACATGCACCCCTATGTTCATCACAGCAATATTCACAATAGCCAAGATATGGAGACAACCTAAGTGCCCATCAATGGATGAATGAGTAAAGATGTGGTATACATATGCCATGGAATACTACTCAGCCATAAAAAAGATGAAATCTTGCCATTTGTGACAACATGGATGCATCTTGAGGGTATTATGCTAAGGAAATAAGTCAGACAGAGAAAGACAAATACCATATGATTTCACTCATGTGGCAGATAAACAAGCAACAAACAAACAAATATATAAGCTGAATAGATTGGTGGTTACCAGAGGGGACGGGGGTGGAGGGAGGGCAAAAGGCGTAAAGGGGCACATATGTACGGTGATGGATGGCAACTAGACTTTGGGTGGTGAACATGATGTAGTCTATACAGAAGTCGAAATATAATGATGCACACCTGAAATTTATGTAATGTTATAAACCAATGTCACCTCGATAAAAAAAGAAAAACAAATTGAGGGATCTGCCATTAAGTGGCAGAGCCAGGACTCAAACCCGGGCCTTCTGGCTGCTCTTTCCCCTCCACCACAGTTCCTTCACAGTTATACACTGCAGCACAGAGGAAAGGGAAGTCCTCTCTGATAAGTATTCGCTACAGAATGGCTAATGCTCTTGAAAACAGTAATAACAGTAACAGTTCTAAGAAGAAAGAAACAAGAGTGCCTTCTTAGCACAGTAGGCAGCGCATCAGTCTCATAAGAAGAAAGAAGAAATTAAGTGAGTGGAACCAAAATATTTCTTTTCTGGAATATTTTTATATTTAATACACAGTGAAGAAGCCAGATAGCCTTCAGGCTAACAGAATCAGCATCTAATTTTCCTTTTAAGCCTAACTTCTACTGCCATCTTGTGGCAATTTTAAAAATCCAAGTCAATTATTTTACTCAAAAATTTTATCCTCCATTTGCTGACCATAGGTTTTCAATGACTTTCTATCGCTCAAATTTTTATTTTCCCTTTATCAGTTTGAGAACATAAATATCATTATTTGAAAAGTAGTAATATATGTCTGGATACCTGGAATCACTGTCTGGAAAAAAATTAAGTAAAATGGCATTACAGTCATGCATCATGTAATGACGTTTTGGTCAACAAGGGACTGCATATCCTACGGTGGTCCCACAAGATTAGTACCATATGGCCTAGGTGTGGAGTAGGCTATACCATCTAGGTTTGTGTAAGTGCACTCCAGGATGTTCGCACAACGACAAAATTGCCTAGAGACGCTTCTCACAACATATCCCTGTTGTTAAGTGACATGTGACTCTATATTATAGAAAACCAGAAATTCTGCTGCTATCTGCACAGAATATGTTGGTTTCTGACATCTTTTTTTCCCCCCCTCTCACCGGTATAATAGTCTCTGGGAGTGCTTCTTCCCTGCAAGCCTCTGGCTCCCTGAGGGACAAATAATAAACATCAATTAATAAATATATCCCAATTTCCTGGCTTCCATATTCCTTGCTCTTTTTCTACATCTACACATTGAAGCACATTTAGTTCTCCAGAGTGGGTATGCTAATCCAAGAAGGATCCACACTTTACCACTTCCAAAAGAAACATGATGGACACTGTTAACTTAGTCCTTGAACACTTCCACCATTTTACCCCTATTCATTCTCTGTGTCAGCCTCTAACATCAGGTCTGCATTGCCAAAAGAAAAGAGAGTCCAAGCACAGCATCAGATAACTTATGCCAAAATCAATATAAGTTTAATATTCTTGCCTTAAATCTTTGCTTTCATTCAGCATTAGAAATCTCAATCTGGAAAGAGAAGGTAAATATGACTTACTTGTCCCAAGCTACTAAAGCCAGGCACTCTGTAAGGGATAGACTCCACTGAGGAGGACCGACTGTATAAGGTGAGACAAAAAGGAAACAAACAAACAAACCTGGTGTTATACTTTTACCTAGACCTAAAGTCTCCTCAGTCCCTATCTCAGCCACATCTAGGTATTTCTTTCATCTTCTAACTATTACCAACAGTTTTAATGTTGCTGTGTAGGCTCTCAACTCACCTGACCACTTGGCTGCTATGCTGAGAACTGGGTCGTGGAGTAACTGAAAAAGAATCAAGTGCAGAAGGGAAAGTTGCCATCAATGGTGTGCTCCGCCTTGCCAAGCCAATCGGTTGCAAGTGGGTATCTGGTTGTATGATCTTTTTATATCATACATAAGATTACGAAAATCACATTACAGTCTCCAAGGAAACCATCTTCCATATGAGAAACGGATATTTATTCATCTCACACAGATATTTGGGCAAAAAATGTTCTGTACCTGACTGTGATGGGGAAGTAATGCCCACTGGTCGAGGTGTGGTTGACCTGCAAGGAAAAAAAAAAAAAGAAAGAGGCAGCTCTAAAATCTATAAGTAGAAGTTAAGTGCTACCTTAGAGGATAAATCAGATCATTGTTCTTAGAAATAACAGCTTCCTCTCTGAGCACAAATTGCCTACTATCATACAGTATAGGTGTCACCCCAAAATATGGAGGGAAAGATTCCATGAGACTCCTTGGCTCTCCAACTCCCTAAGTGAAACCTTCTCCACTTCTCTATTGCCTGTAACAGGAGAAGTTTCTAAGTCCTCCTTTCTTCCTTCCCTCAGTGCCTCACCAAGTTGTCTCAACTTTACATATATCTATCCATCTGTCCATCCATTCTCACATCCACCATTCCCTCACTTCCTCCATCCCTCATCTATCTATCCAACAAGCATTTATTTAGTGCTCATACATCCTAGATCCTGCGATTACAAAGATAACTGGAAAATGGTTCCTATCTCTGAGAGCCTCACAGGCTAGTGGGAGAGACAAAAATATAAATAAATAAAGCAATGCTTAAGTGTTATAATGAGTACATATCAGAAGTACAGAAGTATGAAAGAACACTAGACTATAACTTCTGTGAGTGCAGGGGCCATGTCTTTTTTAATCCACCAATACAGGGCTGATACTAAAAACATTTAACAACTGATAGAGAACAGACATTACCAATTAGAATAACTGGTGATGTACACCCAGCACCTAACACAGTACCTGATAAACAGTAGGCACTTAATGAATATTTACTGAATAAATGAATAATAGAACATCTAACTCTGTCTAATGGAGTCTTGACAGAGGAAATGACATATGAGTTGAATTTTGAAGGAGGAGTAGGATTTTATAAGGTGACAGTCAAGGGTAAGCTTACATTCAAGATTTTACTTCAGCACTTTTAAGCGAGTAACTCTTTCTTGGAGAAGTGAAAGATAAATTCATTAACCATTTCCTCCACCTCAGAGCCCACTCCGGAGTTACAGCCAAGAGTCAAGAAAGAACGGAAATTTTCAAAGAGGGCCAGTACAGGGCCTGATAAAACTGACCTGCTTCCTTGGTACCAACTTGGAGATTCCTGTAGGTGAAAAAAACAGGAGTGAAGGAAGCTGCAGCTCAAGGGTCCTAATCAATGGATCTTCCTTGTGAGATAACTAAGCTGCAATGTCCTCTAGCTGTGGTTGCTAAGATTCCTAGTAAGAGGAAAAATAGCAGCAGTGTCTCCTTAGGAAATTATTAGCTTTGGGGGATTAAAATTTTAGTTCCTCTTCATAAAAACACATTGGGAATCCTGTAGACTGATATATGTGGGGAAATATCGAGAGCCTATGGGAGAGAAAGGAAAATGACAGGATTACAATGTGCTAGAATAGATACAGGAGTAGGATCAATAGTAACATTACATACACAAAGAACATTCTTAGGAAGAGAGAAATGTCTAGGAAATAGAGTTTGAGGAGAGGAAGGGTCCTGAGGTGTCTCGGGATTCTTGAAGAGAAATTTTAAGTTACAACAGATGTCTCTTCCATAAGAGAGCTTCCCAAATGGTAGGTTGTGACTCACTGAGGTTCGAGAATGGGTTACCACTGTGCTCAATATTGATCTTTTGAGCCCTCCAAGGTTTTCTGTGGCCTCGTCCATTTACTGTGGTGTGCTTGTTGTACAAATATTATCAGTTATATGTGCCATGATGTGAAAAAGCTTAGGAAACACTATTCTGTAGTCAGCTAGATAGATGGGAAAAGTAGGGGAGAAAATAATAGTAAGGAAAATCTACTTTGTTCACCTTTAAGATGGCTAGATATTTCTTCAGTTCTCCATTCTCCTTCCTTAAGACTGATAGCTCTCTAGGCAAAAGATGGAAACAATCAGCTCCAGCATGTTAGGGGGATCAAAAAACCTGATTTTTATTATTATCGACACCCAGTTAATGCTTACGGAGAGATGCTTGCCACTATAGATGGTATTTCTGTCAGAGCTAGTGATTCACTAGAGACCACAGCAGGATTTACACAGTGAGAAGAATCAGGTGGAAAAAATAAGGATCCACGTGGCATGATTTCAGAGGACTTTACACAGAATTCCATTTCCTCTCCACACACACCCTTGGCCTGCTGATGTCTGAAAATTTCCATCAAGAATCTCATCTTTTAGTTTAAGATTTCCAAAACACACCCTCCTTGAGGTAACATTTTATTTTGTTTTTTTATTTATTTATTTTTTTGTGAGGAAGATCAGCCCTGAGCTAACATCCATGCCAATCCTCCTCTTTTTGCTGAGGAAGACTGGCCCTGAGCTAACATCTATTGCCAATCCTCCTCCTTTTTTTTTTCCCTTTTTTTTCCCAAGGCCCCAGTAGATGGTTGTATGTCATAGTTGCACTCCTTCTAGTTGCTGGATGTGGGATGCCACCTCAGCATGGCCTGACAAGCGGTGTGTCAGTGCATGCCTGGGATCCGAACCTGGGCCGCCAGTAGCAGAGCGTGTGCACTCAACCGCTAAACCACGGGGCCGGCCCTGAGGTAACATTTTAAATGCTCTTTCCCGTCTCGGGCTGGCTGCGTGGCATAGCGGTTAAGTGCGCACGCTCTGCTGCTGGCAGCTGGGGTTCGGATCCAGGGCGTGCACCGACCCACAGCTTGTCAGGCCATGCTGTGGCAGCGTCCCATATAAAGTGGAGGAAGATGGGCACAGATGTTAGCCCAGGGCTGGTCTTCCTCAGCAAAAAAAGAGGAGGATTGGCATGGATGTTAGCTCAGGGCTGATCTTCCTCACAAAAAAATAAATAAATGAAAAATAAATAAATGCTCTCTTTCGTCTTTATCACTGTGAAAAGGCCATGTCTGATTTCTCTGATGAAGCAGTTTTTTATGGGGGAAGTCAAAGAGGAAAGCTATAAAGTGAGGAGGGCCCCTTTGAGGAAAGAAAGAGAAAAATAAAATGGAGATTGAGGGGACCAAAAACTCTGTACCTGACTTGCCCAAAAAACCATAAACACACGGAGCAATTTTCAGGCTTTGCACCATAAGGAAATAAGGGCTACAGCTTCTCTGAAAGGAAAAAAGCTCTCTAGTGATTTGATTTGTCACTTACTTGTCTTGGCTAGTCACTGTTTGTTGCGCCTCCTGCACGGCTGCTTCTAACTTTGTAATTCTATGCTTATAAAAGGCGATGAGGAGATCTGTTTGTTTCTTCTGGAAACTCCACACCTACTAGGGAAAAACAGGCCTTTGACATACACCCCCATAACTCCTTTCCCTTTACTTCTGGCAACAAAGGGAAATCCCAAGTCATATTTTATTACTGATCATTTTCTTCTGGAGCATCTGGCCCAGTTCATGACTCCTCAGAACTAGAGGAGTCAGCACTGGGGAAAGCCAAAACTTCATTTCCAGGACAATGGCTTCCTAACATCTTAATGAGAATGCTCTGACATCGTAGAACAGGCCTTTAAAAATATAATCTTTCACCTTGAGCAAAAAGAGTAACACCCAAAACACTTTTCAAGCTTAGAATTGGTTCTGATCTAACTTGTCTACCATTAGTTTGGACTCAGCTTCCACACTCCTAGCTAATACAGAGCCCTGTAACCTATTTACTTTTCCTAAGAAATGCACACAGAGACACTTGCAGGCTGTTTACGCTGCTACAATAATGGGCAAAGAGGCACAGAAGGAGATTACCTGTTCCTGAATTTTATTTCTGGGCACAGACAAATAATTTTATCTTTTGCTTTACTTTATCATTTGATAGACAGATGCGCCTACCATGGGATTACTGAATCAGATCGAAAGTTAATATTTAGAAAGTGTTTTGGCTTTGTCAGGCTCTATTTTTGAATAGACAGCAGTATTTATGTCTCATCTGCTTCCTTCCTACTCAGACTATAAACCTTTTGTCTAAGGTCCTTTCCTAGATGTTGGTACTTTTGTCATAAACTTTTCACTCTCACCTAATTTGCAAGTTGCTTTTTCCACCTTACTACGGAATTGTATTTAACAGTTTATACAGTTAAATATATATAGTCTCTAGCCTCTTTCCTTTCTACTCAAAAGCAAACTAAACGAGTTCTAGATAAGTAAGAATTCATTGTAGTCAACTTTATTTTTTTAAAAAGTTGTTGTTTTCAATAAAAATAAAACATGTTCATTTTAGGAAATTTGAACAGTGCAGAAGCAAAAAAAAAAAAAAGTCACTCAGAATCACAAGAGTTACCTAAAATGGTGGGGGTGTTGGGGAGCAATAGATATTACAGATAGATGTAATATACAGCCAAGAGACAGTATCCCAAACATCCTCACCTACTCTTGGGATCAGTCTGTGGTGAAATTAAGTTAGTATCAGGCTGGGCCAAGAAAACCCAAATCCTGCCCGAGACCAGTTCTCCCTTTGAGGGAGAGGTTCTCCCACCAAGGGTCATACGTGCACAGGAACAGACCCCACTGTAGAACTCCAGGAAGCCAGACTGGAGTCCTGGAGGGCCTTTTGCCTAAGCCTAAGCAGGCCTACTTTGCCTACTGACCCAAAAGAACTCAAACCCAAATCTCAGACCTGACCATTCCATGAAGAAGAAAGACCAATCCAAGAAACAATCACCAGCAACAAATGTTAGAGGAGAGAAACAAGTGGTTTTGTCCAATGCTAGGGTATCAATGTTTAGCCTCTTTCAAATATATCCACCAAAGAAGATTCTAAAACCTAACTTAGTAATGAATCTCAGTATTTAAAAAATCTCATTGTTTGTAAACTCATTATTTTGTCTCACTCAAATCCTTCATTCTCATAAAAACATTGGCTTCTTTCTTTTTCCTAAAGAAGGACAAATTTTGCTCACTTTTTTTTTAAAGTTGGGATTATTTTGTTAATATAATCACACAGAGCAGATAATAATAAAAGTAGTCCTACTGATAACACTAAACACTGTCTGGATAACGCAAAGTGTTATTTATTTTATTGGAACAATGTAAGAAACTACCTGTTTCTAGACCTAGATGCCTTTCCTGTACCTCCATATCAGGTAAGGGTATCATGATCTTCATGCTCCGGATTATTAGTCATTTTGGAATTGATCACATGGAACATAATTTTTATTTTATTTACTGAAGAGAGTATTTTAAAACTTCAGTTCTGAATTAGTCTAGTTAATGGCAAGAGGTTGGAGAAAGTAAGGGAGAAACCACTGAAAGATCCTGAGAGAGGCACCGTAATGGAAGCTCAGTAGTTTATTACGACAAGACATATGATATTTTGGTCCAATGCGGGGTGCACATTTTACTGCCTTATTTTTTAAAAAGGTTTTGTTTGTTTATAAAAGTAATACAGGGCCGGCCCCGTGGCTTAGCGGTTAAGTGTGTGCGCTCCGCTACTGGCGGCCCGGGTTCGGATCCCGGGAGCACACCGATGCACTGCTTCTCTGGCTATGCTGAGGCCGAGTCCCACATCCAGCAACTAGAACGATGTGCAACTATGACATACAACTATCTACTGGGGCTTCGGGGAACAAAAAAAAAAAAAGGAGGAGGATTGGCAATAGATGTTAGCTCAGAGCTGGTCTTTCTCAGCAAAAAAGAGGAGGATTAGCACGGATGTTAGCTCAGGGCTGATCTTCTTCTTCAAAAAAAAGTAATACATACTTTGAAAATGAATATTAGCTTGACCGATTGTTTCTTTTGTACTAACGAATGGCTTTCCTAATTCTTATTTTTAAACGTCAGAGTTTTTCTTAGTTGAAGATTTATATTCTCATGCCATTTTAATGTTTTGAACATTTGTAAAGGAGTTTCTAAGTTTTACAAATTTACTTTAAAGGTATTGGTAAGTTCACTATCTCCATTTGGCACTCAAAACCTATTAGTTTGGGGCTGGCCCCATGGCCTAGTGGTTAAGTTCGGCGCACTCTGCTTCAGCGGCCCAGGTTCCTGGGTTTGGATCTGGGGCATGGACCTATACCACTCGTCAGTCAGGCTATAGCAGGGACCCACATATAAAACAGAGGAAGATTGGCACAGATGTTAGATCACGGCTAATCTTTCTCAAGCGAAAAAAACAGGAAGACTGGGAACAGATGTTAGCTCAGGGCTAACCTTCCTCAGCAAAAAAAAAAACAACAAAAAAACCCCTATTAGTTTGCCTTATCTATCTTTTGTGAAACTGACTCCCTCATTCCATAATATCTAAAGGTCTTAGTATTTTTTAATTTTATCTCAAGGTAATCATACCATTGAGAATAGAAAATTTCTCTTTATAGAAGTAGTCCAGCTAAAAAAATGAGAAAGGAATGACAGAATTAAAATATCAGCATTTTGTAACTCCTAGTGAATTAACGGATCTATGTAAAGTTCATCAATGGCTACCATCACAGAAAACAAGCGACAGGACACCATTACCTACTTCTTGGTGGAACACAACACTGCTATAAAGTCATCTTTCCTCCCATGTCCCTAATCAAATGATTCTGATTAAGCGTAAATCTAACTATTAACTTATAGGAAATATAGAGCACAGATGAGCGTATTAAATGACTCCATGGGGATACAATGAACAAAATCCACACTGTGAACAACTCTCTAGGACAAAAGACCATCTTCTTCAACAACAACAAAAAAAGAAATGAAAGGAAACTTATAGTTTAAAAGAAATTTAAGAGCCATAACTAACTGAACTATATAGAACTTATTGAAACCCAATACAAACATAGTTTTAAAATAATTATGAGACAACTGGGGAAATGTGAATGCTGACTAGTTGATAATGCTGATTATTTGATAATATTAGGGAATTATTATTTTAGCATGACATGGATCTAAGAAGAGAGTACCCATCTTTTAGAGATACACTCTGAAATATTTACAGATCGGAATGATATACTATCTGGTTTGGGCTTCAAAATAATCTAAATGGGGTGGCAGAAGGTATAGATGAAGGATGACTGGCCATGAGCTGATAATTGGTGAAACAAGGTGATGGATACATGGAACTGGAAATGCTAAGATGAACAGTATGGGTTCTTGTCCCTTAGCAGCTCTTCAACATGTAGTAGAATGGACATCCAAACACGTGAACCAATAAATAAAATACAAGGTGATAAGCAGAACAGAAGTATGTAAAAAGTACACAAATAATGATTACGAGGTAACTAGTCAGTCTTCAGAGTATGGAAGTCAGGCATTCCAGGCACAGAGGTATGAAATTACATGGTGTATAAAAGCACTGCAGGGCCGGCCCCGTGGCTTAGCGGTTAAGTGCGCGCGCTCCGCTGCTGGCGGCCCGGGTTCGGATCCCCGGGCGCGCACCGATGCACCACTTCTCCAGCCACGCTGAGGCCGTGTCCCACATACAGCAACTAGAAGGATGTGCAGCTGAGACATACAACTACCTACTGGGGCTTTGGGGGAAAAATAAATAAATAAATAAAATCTTTAAAAAAAAAAAAAAAAGCACTGCAAAGAACTAAATCTATCTTACAGATTAGGTAATAAATAACCTACCTAAGAACTTATGTTGGTACATAAGATGTGAGGTGGTAGTTGTGGATGAGATTGGAGAGGGAGGAACCAGATCGTTAAGGGAACTAAGTGTCACTCAGAAGAGTCTGAAACTTAGGTGATGAGAAGCCACCAAAGGGTTCTGAAAAAGCAGTTATATGTTTAGATTTGTAATTGAAATGGATTATTATGGTGCTCAGAGGGAATACATTTGAGCAAAAAAGAACCCTAAAAATTCTTCCTTATGAAAGGCAATTGGAGGACTGTTAAGGTGTCAGAGGTACCCACTCTGAATGAGAGAGGCCCAGTAGCCCACCAGGAGGTGCATTAAGTTTTCGGTTGCACGGTTTGTGATCAAAGCAATACTACCTCTCACACTGGCTTAAGGTTCCTCAGCCTGCTCAGTAGTGATAAAGAACTCAACTACACTGTTTCAGAAGTCCTAAATACTGTCAGATTAGCTTTTTCTTTTCAGATAAAATAATCTTCAACTAAACAAAACCTTTCTTCAAAGGCATCTCTGATTATCTCAGTTGTTCAATTTTTTAATTCAAGTGAGGGATAGAGAACTGGTCTGGTCTATTGATGAGGTCAGGTCTTGACCTGATTTTATTCAAATGGTATATATGGTAGTTATTTATATATATGTTAGCAAAACATATGACTTCAAAGTCAGCAAACTACTGACCAGGGCCAGCTGCCTGTTTCTGTAAATACAGTTGTAC